AGATAGATGTTCATGGAGACACTAATTGCTAGTAGTCTTATCTTGGATTTCTAGATACAAATTACCATCATTTAAGCCATCTAGTCTTACAATTTCATTTTTTCAAAAGCCTTGCCAATCTATATCATGCAAAATAAATTTCTAATTTAAAAAATATAATATTTATAGACCAGTAAACTATGTCAGTCAGTAAAGTGCTTCCCAAGCAAGCTTGAGAACCTGATCTGATCCTATTGACAACCCACATAAAAATGTGTGTGTGCTGATAGATTCCTGTATCCTCAGGAATATCTCTGCTGGGGAGGCAGAGACAGGCATATACTTTGAGATGCTGGCCAGCAAGTCTCACCCATCTGACCTTAAAAAATGTGAGCTGTGCCTTTGGAATGACACCCAAGGGTATCCTCTGGCTTCCACATGCATACTCACATGTGTGTAGGTATGCACATATGAATACATATAAAGAAAACCATGTTTTCAAATAAATATCTGGGCATTTGTGACTTTCAGTAGTTCTTTCCTGTGGCAAAAATAAAAATACTTCCAATGAACCAATCATGAGGAAAGATTCAGTTTGACTCATGGTTTCAATTAGTTTATGGTCACTTGGTCCAAGTAGTGTTGTTCAGGGGAGAGGCAATCCATCAGTTTGGAAGTGTGCAACAGACAAAGGAAACTTACCTAATGACATCTAGGAAGCCAAGGCAGAAAGAAGATAAGGTCTAGATCCCAATAGCATGGAAAGTGCATGGACCTAATTAACTGGTTTCCACCAATTAATGGTTATGGTTGATACTTAAGACAGAGCTAGAAAATAAGAAATTCTAGTCATTGGCCAGAAGCATTGTAACTAATATAAGACTCTGTGTGATATTTGGGGGCCCTAACTCAGGCAGCTGACAGAAACTGTTATCATTACACCATGCCCCAGGTATTCCTTCACCTGCTAATAGTACCAAGGGTTTAGTAAACAAGTTTGGGGAGTATAATAAGATGCAACTCAAAATATCATTAATTTCCTCAAATTTTTTCAAGTCACCTTTTAGGAAAGTAGAAAATCAACTAAGCATTTTACCAGTCACATATTTCTTTAATCACATCTCATGACTGAAGTGTCACACATGTTTGAGAGTGATTCAGGTTGTGAACCGAATTTCCTTTTGCAAAGCTTAGTGATTATACATTAAGCACTACAGATCCTGCTCCTTCCTAAAACAGTTCTTGATAATATCTCATTTTACTCAATTGCTTGAAATGTCCCCAATTTTCTGCAGTTGTCAAATAGACATCTAAATTTCTATAGCTCACAGTTTTTCATATCATGAAGGTTTTACTGCCATTGGTTGAATATGATCAGAGTAAGGATGGATCAAAAAATGTTAGTGACATCCATTTCTTTCTAACTTGGTATCCTGGATGTTCATAAAGACTAGTCTGTGACTAGTTTTTTTGTGGATCACTGTATCAAAAGGGCTAGAATTACTCAAAGCCACCACCTCTTCTTGAGTAACATTAGGAGAATGGTATTGCTCTAACCACTGCTGGGTGGGTATGAAGACCCAACAGGAAGAACAGAGCTTTGTAAATGAGTAGGTCAAATGTAGAACAAAACACCTGTTTGATGACACTGTTGTCCTACCTTACTATGGATAACAGCTAATTGTAATTATGGGAGGACATTATGTTTAGCTAGGGTTTAGGACCCTCTAGATTCTGAAAGAAATCTGGAGAAAAGAGATGTTTGCTCTTTTTCCTTCAGAAGCTGTATCCCAGACATGGACCTACACACATTAGCCCCAGATGAGCTTAAATCCATGAAACCAGAGCCAATATCACACATTTATCCACTAAACAGACAAACTGACACTTTTTGATCCAGATATTTTCTCTTTACATAATTTATGATTACTACAGACAGCTGTCATCTTGTTTTCCTTGAGCCACAACATAGCATTTTCTTCTATGTCTTAAAATGACCATCACAATCATCACTTTACAACACTGGTCTTTCTCCCCTCCAATTGTCTTTCCTTGTTTTGCTTTTTGTCTTTTCAGTCAACCTTTAAGTATCCACAGGTCTTTCTTCTTTCTTTAGTGACACACAGGCAATAATTTTCTAGACTTCTGTCATAAAATAGTTTCTCTCTGATCATTTTATACATTCTGCATAATTGCTGCCTATTATACCTAGATATTTTCTCCATATCCCAGAAGTCCAAAGGAAAGACAAAAACAAAAACAAAGCAAAGACACCCAGATCATTGTGAAATCATCAGTCTCCAGTGACTGGGTTATGGGACTAACATAAGATCAAGCCTTCCTATAAGTATGGGAATTAATTAACATGAGGTCATTGCCTAAAATTCTTACTCCAAATAAATATGAATTATACCCTAAGAAATTTATTCTTAAGGTGATTTCAAAAACTTAGGAAATGTGCAATAATACCTTTAAAAAAGAAAAATGATGCTTCAATATAGAATATAGAAAAATGTGATTTTGTAGCTAATTGGGGGATTGGATTATCAGTTAAAATCACCCAAAGAGGTTAACATGTATAGCTCTCCAATTGAGAGACAGACTAAACTACCAGATCTCTCTATCTTGTTAAATGGGGCTTTAATTTGGGGAGATTAAGTTAGCCAGCCTAACTAGAAAAACTATAGTCATAGTGATGCAAATATTTCAGTACAGATGAAAATGTCTACAGAGGGGAAGGAAAGGACCCAGGCCATACCTCTTCTGGCTCACAAGCATTTCTCTTAAGTTCAGAATGGTTGCAGAGTAATCAGATGCGCTTGCTAACTCAATTAAAGCAAGACACTTACCTGTTTCATTATTAGCATAATAGAGTCTCTCCCCACCGCTTGGTGGAAATTGAACTAAATGAGGAAAAATGGGTATTTGTAAGTGATGGTGGCAGAGGCAGTGAATTGTAAGAGTGCAGAAAATTACATGGTGATTAAATTATTTTCTTTCCAAAAACATCAGTAGGTGAGCCGCTTTGTGGTGACACTTGTTTAAAAGGACAGGCAAATGTAGAATCATTGTTAAAAAGAAAAGAAACTTAAAGGGGAAGTGTAGATACTAGAATAAGGGAGTAGCTGAATGAGACTGCCTTACTTTTCTGAGGAAAGTTTTGAACATATTTTCTTCCCATGAACCAAAATCATGTAACAGGTGACGGCTGGGGGAAGGATTATTAGGATCATTGCAAAGTGGGCTTGAGGAAGAGATTAATTAAAATCAAAGAAGCTGTTTTTTGTAAGATTTGTAAAATTTATACTTCCTAATAGACATATTCTAGATATGAGGCCTGGGATGTCTACATTGAAATATAAATGTGGGAATCTGTCCATTTTCATATTTAATAAAGGGGAATATACACAGAATAAAAATGTGTTATTGATTTTAGAAAAGGGCCCTTCAATGGAACAGCTTTGTTCAGTGTTAATGTTGAAATTCCTTGAGATCCTCACACATGTTGAGGGGAACAGGATTCTCAGGACAAAACCCCTTATTTTCTGTCTTCCTTCTCAGTTAATTCCAGTCCCGTGGTAATCCTGAGATTGATGAGAGAAAAACAAGTTCCACAAATTTAAGCCAAATTTGAAGCAAGCTTTAATAAAATACTGACCAGGAGAGACTCTGGTCATATCCACTCTGGGATCCCAGAGGCTTTTACAGGAGCTTAGAAAAGCAAAACCCATAATTCATTACATTCCCCATCATCTAATCAAGGACAAACTTACTTCCTGACACATTTCTGCATACTACCTTCTGCCTACCTGGGATCAAGCACATCTGGGGTGTTGGTTTAAATAAGCTTGTTTATGGGAGCGAACATATGACTTGTTATTTCACAAGAACTACAACTGCCAGCTTTCCAGGAAGTTTCCCTGTCCTTGGGCAGATGGAGATTACTGAGTAACTAACCTTGGCTCTCAGCCCCCGTGTGTGTGTGTGTGTGTGTGTGTGTGTGTGTGTGTGTGTGTGTGCAAATGCGGTGGATGTGCATGCATGCACTCATGTATATTTTCACAAAGCTTAGGACAACAGCTCACTATGTGAACTTATGTGGAGACATTAAATGCATCCCAGAAATGTCTGCATTGAGTTGCACTGGCTTGCTTCTTCATTTCTGGAGATACAAATTTGGGATTACATTTGTAGTAAAATTAAATAAAATCAACCAACAAACAAAAATCACTCTTCTGACAGTTGATCAAATTATTTTTCCCTGGGCACTTTCTGTTTAGTGAGAAACCACAAATAACTTATTATATCTGAGTTAAAATATAGTCAACACTGAAAAATCATAAATTAGAATGTATTTGAATAAAATTTGCTCAAACCAATTATCTTAAACTTAGATTATATAATTACACTATACAAAGCAATTTTATTCATCTTTATTTTTATAATTGTTGTAAATGCTTGATAATTAGACTAGTCCCATTAAGTAAATATGTCATAATTATAAATGCTTTTCAGTTTGTGGGTTAGCAGTCAAATAACTTTAATCCTAAATCTTTACTCTCTTCCTATGGAACATATTTTAATATATTTCCTTCTTGTTTACAGTCTTGTTCTAGGCTCTTACACTAAATACTAAATTTGGCATTAAGTGTGATAGAGAATCTATTTTCTTCTTACTTTACTCTCATACTGTAATGATCCACAAAGACCCAGCTTTAAAATCAGAGTTACTGGATAATTTCCCGGATTAATATTTTGGAGTTCTTTACTATCATACACTTTTATTTTTTCTTTTTACTATCTATCTCTATCTATCTATCTATCTATCTATCTATCTACTAACTTCTATCATCTATTTCTGTCTGTCTTTCTGTCACCTACCACCTATCTATTTATCTTTCTTTCTTTCTCTCAAAAAAAAAAAAAAACTGTCATCTGACGCAGTTCTCTGCTGCAATGGATTCTTAGGACTATGACAAAGTAAAAAAGGAAGGTAAGGCTGATAAAAAGACTTTCCTTGTAAAAACTGTGACAATGAATTGGGACCTTCCACTTCTACTCATGGTAGAATAACCAGTATTTCCTCTTATGACATAAATAGCTAAATTAAATAAAAATTTGTCATAGATTTTAGAATCCATATTAGTTTAGACTCCTAAGAACAGACACTACACTTGATCCTCGTCCAATGGCTGAGAAGTGATATAACTTTTCAGACATTATATATGTGGACCCAGATTCCCCAAGGGAATAGACACATGGTGCAGCAACCCATCACATGTCATTCTACGTGAAGAAATCCATCCATAATGAGATACAGATGCAGGGCTCCCAGCAGAACAAGGCAGCCTTGTTGCTCTGAGAAGGTTAAGCAGTATTGAGTGGCAGAACTTTACAATAGGGGAATCAACGAGGAGGATAAGTAAATAAAAAGAGACTCAGGAATATGCATACAGTCAGAGGATGAATACAAATCAATAATTACCCAGGGGGAAATCTAACAATTCAGAATAAGTGATTACTGTGGCACTGGAAGTCAAACAATTTCTCAAGTTTCCTAAGATAATTTTGAGTATTGAAAGTGAGGAATCCTCTACAAACACAAAGAACCTTCAAAAGACTCTAGAGAGAGTGAAAGGTCAAAGTAACAGGTCATGAAGATTACCAGGAAGACTGACAGAAATTAATAGAGCTGTGCATTACTTTACTGAATAGCTTTTAAAAGAAGATAAAAGTCCAGTGCTGCAAAATGTCAAAATGTACTATTATGTAAATTGTGTTTCCTATTGAAAAGAAGAGCTAATAAAAAACATGCCTCCATTTGAACAATGAAGAAATAGCAAAAAAGAATCTTCACATAGCTACTTTAAGTAAGTTAAGAATTTATTTAACTGTATGTCTATAATCCTACCTCTAGGAGGGTGAAGGGAGGTCACCAACTCTAGGTCAGCACTAACAGTATATAGTAAGTCACTATCTTACAGAAACAAAAGCTGAGGAAGCAAAAATTAAATGGAAAAGAATGAATGAATAAAATGGTTACCACAAATACATGAGGAGAAAAATAGACATAGTGTCAAGATGAACACTTAGAAATGATAGGAAATCAGTCTAGAAGGAATAAGAAGTGGGATAAATAACATTAAAGACATTTTAGAAAAGTCATATGAAACCTTTTGTAAAATATTCCTAATATCTGCACACACACACACACACACACACACACACACACACACACACAGAGAGAGAGAGAGAGAGAGAGAGAGAGAGAGAGAGAGAGAGGACTCAGTAACATTTTAGTACTCAAAGACTAAATACTATGATAACAATGTATTGATAAAAATAAATTTATTGTAGACTAAAAACATTAGCAAACCAATAGAACTGTGAAGTAACACAAACAAACAAAGCCAAATGAAATCCCCCCAAAAAGATAAAAGCAAAAATTTAAAAAGTGTAAAACCCTACCAGGAAATAAAAATAGAGGTCAGACATATTGAGTTTGGACCTGTATGGAAAGGGGTCTAGATTCTCAAATCCAATGTCTCAGACAGTCTTCATGCATATACATATGAGGAACTTCATGGGTTAAAAAAGGAGTTCCACTTATTCAAGGAAAGTTATCATGAGAATGAACTATTCTTCATAAGTGTGATAATTAACATTTAAAACTATGTTTTCATGTATCTTATTGACTGGCTAACCTTTAAATATTTTACATAAAAAATGAACAAAAACAAAGTTTGAAATTAAAAGTCTCTCATAATGAATTTCCTTTCTAAAAGGAAATACCTGCTGTAAATATGCCACATTTTAAATGTAAAATGGCTGAATCATTTAACTCTTAGCAGTTGTGACCTTCTGCTTATGGTGATTATACATTGTACTTCTGCTATGATGGAAAATCATGTTCTATCATCAGGTTCCATGCTACATAGAAATACTACAGCATAGAAATTGATTGCCATCTTGTAATATGCATCGAAGTTTGGCTTAGCAATCAAACAAAGGAAACATAGTGTTTTTGCTCTTAAAAAGTGCAAACAATGTGGGAGACAGAAGCTATAGGATCCTAATTTTTATGTATCTATTGAGGGTTGTTATTGACTTAAAAAGATTAGCATTTAATCTAGAAGAAGGTATAGCTGAGGATGTAATTCCTGGTTCAACGGAGTAACTGGAGAAAGCTGAAGCCTCAAAATCGAAAGAAAGTAATGCCCTGTAAAACATTAAAAGAATGGCTAAAAGTGAATATGGGTTAGCACGAGTGCACATGAAACTCAGTGAAGTAACCGTAATTATAAGCAGAGGGAGCATTTACTTCCCTCATACAGTCTCCTTGCCCTTACTCATTTTGTGCTTTGTAGGTGGAATGAGGCCAGGCAAGCTGCAAAGTCTACTTTAGGAATGCAATCCTGGAGGATTGAAGATAAAAAAGAATAGAGTCTCCTCCTGTCTTTGTGTTAGATGAGAGGGAAGGCTTTTTTTTTTTTTTTTTTTTTTTTTTTTTTTTTTTTTTTTTTACCTCTGCAGGGAAAGCAGCAGACTCTTCTATTGCATGAAAAAGATGAAGACATACATACATCAGTTGAGGTAAATCTCAAACAAAGAAAAAAATTAATCTAGTAAGAACCAGCTAGGGAAGCCCCCTCCTAATGCTCAGGAAACAACTTATTCAGGATGAGAAAAATCGTACTGTCCCAATTCTCAGTATCCCATCTAGACTTCAGCAAATACCAAGCAGCAGCCATGCAGGGTTAGACTTTCTTTAAAGGCCATCATTCACATATTGATGGTCCACTTATTCCCTTTATATAATATGTGTTAGGTCTGTGAAGAAAATGTTAGGCTTTTGGTATTTAAACTGCCCACGTGGACATGTGCCCATGTGGAACATAGCATATCCCTTTCTACAGAGAACATGCTTGGTTGGCAGGTGACATGAAGGATGACTTGGTAGCACTGCTTCACTGTGGTAGACTTGGGCTCCGTGAATAAGTAGTCCTAAACTCCTGTCACCTCTCTCTGTCTTCAGCCACTGAGGACACTATCAGTGGCTTATGGAGGTCTTTGGAGACCAAGTCTTAGCCATGGAGCAAGTACAAGCTCCATATACCACAGAAGAATGCAAAAGAATTACTTTAAATCTTTCTCACTGCTCAATACAGCACACTAAATATGTAACGTGAAAACTTAGAATATAGTCCCAAAGTTCTTGACTTCAAAAAAAAAGAATAAAAAGCTGTAAAGATAAGCAAGATAAACACATAGCAGATTTTTTTCTGTTTAAAACTCTGAAAGCTTGTTATTCCAAGAAGTAAATATGCCAAAGTTGGTAGTTTATGATGCATACAATTGAAAAATCTAGGTATAAAACTCAAGAAGCAGCATTTAGACTGCAACATCTAAAGTATGTTGTGTTGAAAACTGAAAGTACTCTTTGAGGGTAGAATATGAGTAATCAATGATATTTGTCATAATCCAAAGACAAACAAAAATGACTTCTAAAATAGCAAAGAAACTAATAGTGAAAATAGTGAATCATGAGTAATAGTCAATTACTATAAAAGCAAGCAAAAAAATAAAGAGAAGTAAAAAATAAGCAAAATGTTAGTTTTTTGCCCAAACATAAATATTGTAAGTTGTCAAATATTACCTCTTAAAATACAGAGAATATCATTCTAGATAATAAGACAAAACACAGCTGGATGCTATCCACAGAGAAACACTTTTCAAATATAAAGGTATAACCAGTTTTAGAGTAATAGAAAAAAATATAAGGGGTACATATATTAGTGAAGAGAAAGATGCAGTAACTATGGAAATATTAAACTAGACTTTGTCACAATGAAACTTGTCAAGATAGACACTGAGTAACTCTAAGTGTACCATTTTTTTTTATATTTGCCCCAATTCCATCCAGTCCCTTTCAGGTCCTCCCCAAGCTCCTTATTCACCTAATATCATGTTTTTCCTTCCCCTTAAAAGCAAAACAATTAGTATTGGGTGACTACTCTTGAGCATTGGGCCTGCTCTGGAGTGTAGTCGTGAAGCCCAATATCACTTCATTGAAGAAAATTGATTTTCCCTTTCCTAGCACAAATATCTTAAATACTGTATAGATATAGAGGTTTACTAATATCAAGCCTACAGTCTATCCTGCCTGCAAGTTGTGCTGGGGCAATTGAGACACAGACCTTGTGGGAGTGGCCAACCAACGACTGGTCTAATTTGAGGCCCATGCCATGAGAGAGAGGTAAACCTGATTTTATTATTTTATTGTGGAATCTGCATTTTCACAATAAAAAAGACATTATTTGCTAACACTTTCCTAAAGCCTTCAAAAACAAGGGAGGGACCCAGGACACCAAGAGTTGCAGAAAGATATTGTCAAAGATCTTAAGTTTGAAAATGCAGATAATTTGAAAATTATATCTCTTATCATTTTACTTATTTCCTTGCTACCCAAAATAGCCCTCAAACTCCATCTTAATCAGGATATGCTGGTTTTGAGTGGAAAATAAAGCAGTGTGGAAAAATTTCAGGTTCATGGTTTTGTGTAGAGAGTAATTAGTATATATGGGGCTTTGTTTAAAATAAATCTAATGATAAGTTAATACCTTCATTATATATACATATATTTACATGATATGCAAATTAGGTGAATAGTGAGTTAACCACTGTATTGGTCACTTGTGACATAATTTTTTGTATGACATATGGTACATCTTCAGAACCTGTATGGCGCTGAGAGTCACATAGTCCATTGTCTACACACTAGAACTTGCCAGAGGAGTACACTAGGGCATCAATTTACTCTTTCTTAAAGATTTGGAAATGATTTCCTTGATAGCATAGCTTAAGCACATATTAATTTTATGTCAAAAACACTGTTCTTAAAGGGTAATATTAATGGGTTATTTTTAGTTTAAAATGTTAAATCATAATTAATAGCACAGAGTAAGAGAATGCATTTGTAATGTTTATGACTAATAGGATTTAACATAGGAGCAGGGATTCCAGTATTTTGAAAAATGACAAAAGTACAAATAGCAACAGTTAAAAAAAATCTTAAGCTGTACATTAAAGAGGATATTCAAATGATTAATACAGAAGGTAGGTAATGCTCTATATCACTAGCCACTAGGTTATCTAATTTTTAAAAATAATCATATTTATCTTCATATATTAAATAAGAGGTTAA